TCCCACATGAACCTTAGGCTTTCTTGATTTTGTTTTGATTTTTTTTCTGATTGATCCTTTTGCAAAGAAGTATTCAGGTATTTTTCTTCCATGCAGGTGGGAATCTTTTGATTCTGGATCCAAGCTCTGGGCTGCTCTCAAATTCGTGCTATTCAATGATGATTCCAGGTTCTTGGTGAGAACCTGGTTGGTTTGTGCATATATTTTTGCCTGAGGTAGGAGGGGCCTCTTGGAGAAGTATTCATCCAATCTGTGGTCAGCTCAAATCTCCTGGGATCCACCTAACTCTGTTCAAGGCTAAGCATGGTGCCTGACCTACATGGATATGTGCTAAATCAGAGAAAACAGAATGAGGTCTTCTATTCAATCTTGGATCAGGAGGACTAAGAGACAATTTCTGAGACAATTAAATTAGAAGTAGTCAAGAAAATCATGGGAATTCCTGGAAGATTTCCACTGGGAGAACTGGCAGAGCAGGAAGTGGTATGGAGACGTGCTCTTTCAGGTATCATGCTGCACTAGCCATTGATGTCTCCTCCACAGAAGGTTGCCTCCTCAGACCTGAACAATGTCTGGTCCTCAGCCTATCACTGCTCCCTTCCAGACCCCAACTTTTCATTCAGTGCTGTGATTTGAATGAGACTTACCATGCACTGAATCCATATAAGACTAACCCAAATGTTACATGCACTAGATATGTTCTCAAAAACTGATACTCAAGCATTTTGTAAGTTTCAATCTTGTGTGTATATGTTTGTCTGGGTGAAATTAACTACTATTTATTGTGTCTGGGGGTAGTTTTTAGAATGGAAAGGCTAAGGTGCCTACCAGGGGCCAGGATATCAATAGTAGTCACACTAGCATTGAGCCTCTTGCAGTGACATTCTTGCCTCATTTTCCAAAATACATGTAGGTTGTGGTCTTATTTATTTTTTTATAATGTTTTATAAATATTTGCAAAGGTGTACATTTCTGATCAATGCTGCAATGCCTTAGGGAGAATAAATCAGCAGAGGCTTCTAACTTCCTGCTAATGAGGCTTCACTTGCATTCAGCAAGTGTGGAGGCAGGGTAGAAAGGATGGGAAAATAAGGAGGGTAAGAGAGAAAGAAAAGTAGAGAGAGGGTGTTGAAAAGGTGCTAATTTACATGAGCACAGAGTCATTTCAAAGATATCACAAGCAGCAAATTCAATGACCCTTCAGCAAAAATTTTGACCAGGAAATTTCATTAGGGATTTAAATCTCTATGGAAGGCCAAGTTGTTGCATTAAGATATGAAAACTGTGTAAATATTGCTTCTTAGGATAATGTTCTCTGCAGGTCATTGAGTTTCAGTTAATAGAATTTAGAGTTATGAACATCATATTAAAAGTAACTGGGGAAGGGAGGGCTTGGAGGGAAGAAAGGAATGAGCTGCAGTTGGGAGCTCATGTATGACAGTCATCTGGATGGAAGTAAAACGCCAGTGTTAACTAGCTGTGTGATCTTGAGTAGATTTATTTATCAGGTTTAATTGCCTTGTCTATAGAATATGGGCAATTACAGGTATATATCTGTTAGATCATGTGTATGAGGGTGTAATAAGATCATTCAGGAGAAGCCCTTTAGCACATATCTGGCACATGTACAATCTGAACACATATGAGTAACACAATGGTGATGAGTAAAGGAAGGTAAACTTGTCAGACTGACTCTGTGGTATTCATCTTTAAGTGTTATAATTGCCATTTCTCATATATGAAACCTATGAGCTAAATAAATACACCAAGTTCAGGTGTAAATGCTGCCCCTGGAACCTTCCCATGTTTATAGCAGGTCTTTTTTTTTTTTTCCCCCCTCACTAGTCTGTAGAAGCCACAGAGCCTTCATCCTGTTTTGTACACCTTGGTACACAGAAAAGATTTCAGAGCCAACTTTATACCTTTGTAATCCTATGTAAGTCTTTGGGTGGGGCAAAGAGTTAACACATTCATTTGCTAATCAAAAAGTTGGCAGTTCAGTTCTACCCAGAGGTACCACAAAAGAAAAATCTGCATTTTAGTTCTGAAAAATCCGCCATTGAAAACCCTATGTAGCACTGTTATATTCCGACATACATGGAGGCACTCCACAAGTCAAAACTGACATGATGGCAATTTTAGATTTCCAGAGTCTGGTCAATTAGATAGCCCTTGGTAGATTTTCAGAAACTATTTGTGGAATGAATTAATGATTGTATAAATGAATGCAAGCATGCATAGTTGAATGGTAAATAAAATGTCTTTTTCATTTTTAGTGTGTCTTAGGGATTTTACCATTGGTTTATTGATGATTATTTTGCTTTTGTCAAGGCATACTGACATTTTGACTCACATAGTGTTGTGCCATTTTATGAAAACAGAGGAGAAAGAAAATTCATAGAATTTCACAACCCAAATACTTCTAGTACTCTTTTAGTATTTTATTATTTATTTAATTTTCTCCCAGTTTGGGACCAGAGTATGTTTGTTTTGCAATATTATATAACAATAATTTTCTTTCTTGCACTTTTACTTAATAAAAACCTTTTGCTCAGCTATTATTTTAATCACCATTTAATATTAAATAATAGATGTGGCATATTATATCTAAACATTGTCCTGTGCTGTGGTTGGCCATTTAGAATGTATCTATTATTTCACAATTATAAAAATTGCTTCATTAAATATTTTTATACATACAAGATCTATATTTTCAGTATTAGTGACTCACAGGTTTATTTTTCTATGCGGAGAAAAATAGCTTTTATGTGGGCTTCATCCTCAGCTTTGGTGTGATGGACTATGGTGTCCAGTTGGATGAATAGAATTTGAATTCTATTGTTTAAGAGAGATTATCCTACCCACTTCATACTTGATAGATTCCTTATCTATATGTGAACAGAAAGAAGGGAGGAAGGGAGGGAGAAAAAAGAGGGAGGATAAAGGGAAGGAAATAAAATGATCAAGGGAAAAATGGAATAAAAGAAAAGAGGGACTGGAAAGGAAGAAAGGAAGAGAAAAAGAAAACAAAGAGGGAAACTAGATACATCTTAAAAAATGAAGAAATAAAGAAGGGAGGGAAGGATGGAAAGAGGAAGAGAAAGAAGCAGAGGGAAGAAAGAGATAAAAGAGGAAAGGGAAGAGGGAAGAAAAACTGGCAAGCTCATTCTTCAATGTAAGCTACCTAATATTCAAAATGGATGTCTCTAACTACAACCATTTTAAACCTTTCAAACACCAACTTGGCAAGGGCCCTGAATCACAGGATAAAAAAAATAAATAAATTCCTCCTATAGCAGCACCCTATCTGGATCATTCCCATGGAACAGCGCCTCTGTGGCTTGGTTGTGACAGCGCCTCTGGTCTCAGAGACCAGAGATATCCTGGCTGGGTTGGCCATTTGCTTTTTGACAACCTTCCCTTTTCTCAAGAACTAAATTTGCAAAGAAAATGGTAGTAAATCTCTATAATGGGTTCCTTTACTAAAATAAAACATAATTATTAAGCAAAACCTTTCCCTTCTGAGAAACTTTGCATTTGCATGGGGAAAAGTAGCTAGAAATTCAGAGGAATAATGAAAATTGACATTTTGAAAAGATTTTGAAGGATGGCTAAACATGTTCCTTGTGTGGCAACGTGCATACTCACTGACAGACAAGGCAACCATTGTTAGTAGTCAACTTCAAAATGTTTTGCTAAAGTTATGTTGGGAGCTCTGGTAGCATAGTGGCTAAGACACTTGCCTGCTAACCAGACAGCTGGCGGTTCAAACCCACCAGCCACTCCTCAGAAGGAAGGTTGGGCAATCCTACCTCCGTAGTGATACTGCCTCGGAAACCCACGGAGGGATCGCTATGAGTCAGGTTTTACTCGACGGCACATAACAACAACAACAAAGTTATGTTATGCTTGCTTGATACTCAGAAAACCATAACATTGCTTTACAATCTGGAAATGAATATCATTATCCTAAAAAAGCTAAATTGCTGACACAATAAAAATGTCCTTTTTGTAGTAGCCACTGAAAGAGCAGAAAATGATTCACAGATAAAATAACAATTTCACATCTGACGAAAATTGGTCATAATAGTATAGGAATTTATTTATTTATTTATTTTTCCAAGTAGAAATAGCAATAATAGTGAGCAATATTTCTTAGTAACAAATTATCTTCTTTTGTAATTTCATAAAAAATCATTTCTCATTAGTACAACAATTTCTCATTTACAAATAGTGTTGCTAAAATTGGGTTTCCAGAGTTTGAAAACTTCTTATGTAATTTTATATGCATGTTTTCTTATTTTGGGAGCTCTGGTAGCGTAGTGCCCAAGGCACTTGACTGCTAACCAGAGGCTGGCAGTTCAAACCCCCCAGCCACCCCTTGGAAGGAAGGTTGAGCAATGTACTTCCATAATAATACTGCCTCAAAAATGCAAGGAGAGGTTGAAATGAGTCAGGTCCAACTCAAAGGCACGTAACAACAAAAACAACATTTTCTTATTTCAGTGAGACAAAAGTTGGTAAATTCAATATTATCACAATGTATAAACCAGAGAAGAACAAATACAATTTCAATAACATTTCTTGATGAATATTCAGCTCTTTGCTTTTTTTTTTTTTTAAATCCTTGTTTCCTTAATTAGGGTGGGATTTGGGTGTCCTGAGAACTCAAGGAGCAGGGTTTGCTGGAGTCTCATTGAGAGATTAGAGAGGAGCTTAATTTTGAAGCTAGGCCCCATCAAGGAAGAAGACCTAGACTGAGTCAGCTCTAAATGAACTTTGAACATGAACATCCATCTGAACATGAACATCTGTCCTGGCTTCCTTTCTGGTCAGCTTTCAGACAAACACTGCTAAAATATAGATATTGTGTTAGAAAGAGAAGGAAAATGCTTGACCTACTTGGATCTGATAAAATAGAATCCGTTTTTGGTAGAAATTGATCACAGCGAACTCCTTGGTAGCCTTCTTTGCACCTGAGAAAGGAGACAAATGGTAAACATAGGCATGTGGTGCTGAAAGATTCATTTCAAAATCTCAGCAAATAGAATAGCCACCAATCATATCAAAGCAAGAGTAATACATTCATGCTTTTGATTTTAAGAGTCAATCTGGTGTCTGTTTCTAACACTGACAGATTCTATATCTATTTCTGATTTTTTAAAAAAGCAGAAATTTTCTTTCCTAGTTTTACATGTTATATCTAATGAACACCTTGAGTAGCATTTTAAGAAGTGCCCCCAAGAAGTCTACACAATGATCATCCTAATATAGTTTGGGATCCAAATATACTTTTCTTAATACAACAACCTTGTCTCTAAAATGCTGCATATGTCCTTGTCTCACACTGTATATATATTTTCTAGTTATAGATTTATGACTATTGTTTTTTTCTTTTTCCATGTGTTTTCTAGGTGATTTATTGACTAATTTTACTTTTATTTTGTGTTTTTTAGCTCTTCTTCAAGTCAGCATCACCTAACAACTTGGAGAAAAACAAAAGAATTTTATCTGGTAAGATCTGAAAATCAAATCTTTATATGCATGGACTCTGGGCATTTTCTCTATACTCATATTTTTCACTCCTAATTTTTCTGTTTCATATTCAACTAACATGTGCAGTGTTCCTGTTTTATGCCAGAAATTGCAAAAAGCAACTTTCCTGAGGCAGGCACAATATGGAGGCGAGGTGTTTGCCTGGGAGACCTGGCAATGAAGGATGTCACCTCAGTTCTGCCAGTCCCCTATCAAGACTTCACAGCTTGCTCAATCAGGACTGCTTAGTGCCGCAGACAGCAGGACTCATCAGTTGGCAGCTCACGGAAGAAATACTGCTGAAGCCCCAACTGCCTACCTCTGGCCAATAACCTCTTTGAGAGGGAGATGGCATTTAGTGGTCTGTTTGGCACATAATGTGTTATGCTCAAGTGAAACAGGGAGCATCCATTATTGCTTGTGAGATGATCTGTCTTTCTTACAGAGGAGGAAATTGTACTGTTGGCATAAAAATCAGATTTAAGACACAATTCTCTGGTTGTTAGAAATCTAGGAAATTGACAAAGGAATTCAAAGAGATCTGTTTACTCTTGCCAGTTGTGGGACCATGGATTCTTACCCTTGAATACACTTTGTTTTCTGAGTGTAATAAACTATTAAATAAGTCCTATTGCCATTGCAGCAGCAATGTTGAAAGGCACCCACATAATATTTCCACCTTTCATTGTGAGCCAAATTGGAATTCAGGTAATCTGGCAGTTTTTATCAAAACCTTTTTAAGCTTGGCACCCCAGAGCACATTTGGCAATTCTCTTCATAGACTGAGAACAAGAACTCTGATACATGGATACTTCAGATAACCAGCACATTATTCAAATAATTTATTTAAACAGCCACATATTTTCATAACCTTTTATTATTCATTGTTTTTTTCACTTGAAATAAAAGGAGCATATCACTGTAAAAAGTCAGGAAATACTTAAGAATTAAACACATTTCTGAGGAGAAATTAAATTCCCATTCTCTTAAGAACTGCCTTAATGTTGGTGGTTTCCTCTTACTCAGAATTATCTCTACCTCAGGGCATTAATTTTCATGCTCTTACAATAATGAGCTATATTCTAGATATATGCTATAGCATGCACTGACTTTTTGGAGGTTCCCCCCCCCTTAATTTATGTGGGAAGTTTTAAAAACAGTTTATTTACTCTTGTATTTTTATTTAATATGAAAATAGTGTCAAAGGGAGATAGCTACTTTTAAGGGGCAGCCTTTTTTTAGGTTTTGTTTTGTTTTTTAAGTGTTTTTAGTTACTTAAAATGTATTATTTCATTTGTGTGTGGAAAGGAAATAAGGAAAGATGTTTTAATTTCTTCCAATTATAAACTTATTTCCCATGAGTAGGATCTCACTTTGAGTGTGTGGGTCTCATGGAGTATCAGCCAGGCATGTTCCTTCATGCTGCCTCCATACCTGTGGATTGCAGTGAGTACAGTGTAATGGTGTTATAGAGCCCTGCTTAGGCTAGAAAGCTGTACTATTGGATGAAAGCAAGTCCTATTCCTTTGTTAAGGAGGTAAAGCTAATTTGTGTGAGTTTAAGAATGGCAAATTAAAATATTCATTTAAAAATTGCTCATATGTCACTTTAGTCAGCTCAGACACATTGAAATGTGAAGATGAAATGTTGCCAGCAGCTAATGTCAATGTGGTAGATTGAATGTTTGACAATATTAAAGACAATTAGCAAAAAAAAAAAAAAAAAAAAAAGTCTTATACTATTGCATACATGGAGTTTGGCTAAACAATTGTGATAAGCACATCTTTTCAGAAATGGCAATGATTTTGTGGTGAAATCAATTCTTTTATGTAGCCTTTTGCCTTGATTCTGTGAATAATAATAATAATAAAACAATTTGGGAGACTTTCCTCCTAAAGCCTGAGGAATTGTTAAAGTTGTCATTTTTACAGTCACCCTAGTTCTATGAAGAAGGAAGGAGCCAGTCCTTGTTGGCAGAAAATGTCACTTATGATGCAAATAGATGTAACCATTTGTGGTACAGTGAGGGGATTGATCAGTTTAGTCCAGTGAGGGGACTGGTCAGCTATTACACCAAGAGTAGCTTGAAAATCTACTCAATAGAATTGAACCATTGCCTATATAAGAAGTCAATCCAATAGAGATATTTAGAGGCAAGAATAAGAGATCAGGAGAAAAGAGAGAATAAGCAAGGAGAGAGTTAGAGCTGAGTGACTTTGGGCAGAAGACATACCAGTGGAACTAAAAGTATTATATGGGTCAATGGCTGTACACTGAAGATGGCTAGAAGCCTGAGAGACAGAGAGAGCCTATTATCATGCATAGCTAAGAGGTGGAGAGTAAGGCACAGAGAAGACATGGACAGAGGAGAGGTGGGAGTGCACATCCAAGACGAATTATGCAGGGCCAATTTGGGGATTGTGTAGCTAAAAGGAGGCCTGTTCTGAGGAGGTCAAGAGAAGGGCTATTTTATTGGGGTTGACTCATATATCATGAAGAGAAACTCATGACCAAGAAAAAGCTGAGAGAATCTAAATTGGAAGTTGCCAGAAATGAAATGGAATGCATAAAGATCAACAGACTAGTTGAAATGGACTGGTATGTGCCATCTTGAACTGGACAATCATATGGTCAATTACGCCATGAATGACAAGTTGAAGAAGAATAGTGTCACACATTCATCATCAAAAAGGATATTTCAAGATTTATGCTGAATTATAATGCTGTCAGTGATAAGATAATATCCATACATCTATAGGGAAAAGCAATTAATACTACTACTACTACTATTCAAATTAAGGTACTAATCATTAAAGCCAAAGATGAAGAAATTGAAGATGTTTACCAACTTCTGTTTCTGAAACAGATCAAACATGAAATCAACAAGCATTGATAATTAGTGTTGATTGGAATGTGAAAGTTGAAAACAAAGAAAAAGCATTAGTATTCAGAAAATATAGCTTTGGTGATAGAAATGATGCCAGAAATAACATGATAGAATTTTAAAGACCAATGACTTACTCATTTCAAATACCTTTTCTTCAATAACATAAATAGTGACTATGTACATGGACCTTTCCAGATGTAATACATAGTAATCAAATTGACTACATCTGTGGAAAGAGGTAAAGAAGAAGCTCAAAATCATCAGTCAGAGCAAGGCCGGGGATGATTGTGGAGCACACCATAAATAGCTCATATGCAACTTTGAGTTAAAGATTAATAAAATTTTAAAAGTCTATAAGAAAATTTTAAAAATCTGAAAGGGCTAAAATACAACACTGATTATATACCTGATTTTAGAGATTATCTAAAGAATAGATTTGATGCATTGAACACCAATCAGATGACCTGTGGAGTGACCTCAAGGATATCATATGTGAAGAAAGCAAAAAGACATTAAAAAGACAGGACAGAAAGAAAAGACCAAAATGGATGCCAGAAGAGATTCTGAAACTTGCTCGTGTAAGGACAGTAAAACCAAAGCAAATGAAACTCACTGCCATTGAGTCAATTCTGACTCATAGTGACCCCCATTGGTTTCTGAGGTGGTAAATCTTTACAGAAGTAGACTGTCACATCTTCCTTCCATGAAGCAGCTGGCAGGTTTGAACCACCAACCTTCTGGTTAGCAGTCAAATACCTTAGGCACTATGTCACTGAAGCACCTTGAATGAAGAGTAGCTAAAGCAAATGGAAGAAATAATGAAGTAAAAGAACTGAACAGAAGATTTCAAAGGTCAGCTCAAGAAACAAAGTAAAGTTTCATAATAGAATGTGCAAAGATATGATATTAGCAAACAAAAAGGGAAGAACATGCTCAGCATTTCTCAAGCACAAAGATCTGAAGAAAAAATTCAGTCTTCAAGTTACAGTATTGAAAGATTCTATGGTCAAAATGTTGAATGATGCAGGAATCATCAGAAGAACATGGAAAGAATACAGAGTCACTGTACCAAAAAGAATTGATTGATGTTCAAACATTACAGGAGATATCATATGATCAAGAACTAACGGTACTGAAGGAAGAAGTTGAAGCTGCACTGATGGAATTTACAAAAAACAAGGCTGCCAGAATTGATGGAATACCCAGAGAAGTTTCAATAAACAGATGCACTGCTGGAAGTGTGCTCACTCATTTATGTCGAGAAATTCAGAAGACAGCTACCTGGCCTACCAGGTGGAAGGCCAGGAATGGAAGAGATCCATATTTATGCCCATTCCAAAAGGAAAATGATCCAAAAAATGAAGACATTATCAAATCATATCCTTAATATCACACACAAGCAAACTTTGGCTGAAGATAATTTTAAAAAAGATTGTGGCAGTACATTGACAGGGAAATGCCAGAAATTCAAGTCAGATTCAGAAGAGGACATGGAATAAGGGATATCATTGCTGATGTCAGGTAGATCTTGGGTGAAAGCTAAAAATTCCAGAA